GGCAACCCAGCAAGTAAAAGTTGCTTTATTTTATTTGCTTGAAGTGTGTTTGCTTACAAACCTAATGCTGTTTCACTATTGTTCTAACAAATAGCTGCTAAAGAATTTCTGCTTGACCTTTACAAAACAAACCATTAAAAAACCACTATGTTAATATAAGACTCTAGAAGACTCTTCAGGAATGACCGTGTTGGAACAGATTGCATGGCACAGCATACACTGAGAAAGTGACTGTCAGAAGAAGCCAGTCTTGCAAGATGATTGGTGGATTTGGTCAGTAATATCTTCTTTAAAAGAAATCATCTGCAGCTGTCAAAGGATGAAGTATACCTGTGCCAACTTGAAAGCAACTTTGTCTAGTTGTTTTTGTGGACAAACTGTCTGGTGAGAACCTTGCATTGATCTACTTGTTGGCTTTATCTGATCCTTTGCTCGGTCAGTTCTTACTGCGGCAGAGATTGGATAGGAGGCAGTTTTTTTGATTTCCACCTGCTGTGACTCAGGACCGTCTGAAATGGCAAGAAGCAGGGTGTTGTGACGTGCATGTCTTTTTATTTTTGTGAGTTGTTTTGTTTCTCTTATAGCTGAGCAATTTTAATGCATCACTCTCTAGATTTTTTTAGAAATAAATTGAAAGTGTTTAGTGATCTGAGGATGCAAGCTAGCAAGTCTTGTTCAAAGGCATTGGCTGAAACATTTGGCCTGCTCTTTTTTAGATTTAGTAGTGGAAGCAGTGCCTTTTTAATTCATAGGAGTTCATTACTATAATCACACTATTGCAGAAGAAAATGAATTCTTGGGGAAAGAAAAGTCAGGATTTAATTTTTGAACTGGTATTCTTATAAAGAAATACATTCCTGTTCATTATATTCGGCTTGTACCATCTGTTGGAAATCATCAGAACAGGAGGCAGGGACTGAAGTGCAGCCCTTGTTACAATGAGGAGAGTTTGTTTTATGCTACATTCCTAATGTGGTACACTTACCCTCTGGTATACATTATCTCCCAAATCAATAAATAAACTGTAATGGAAAAGGTAGAATGTGATAAGAAAAGACACTATTTGGTTTGTTTCTTTTTTTTTTTTTTTTTTTTTTTTTTTCTTTAACAGATAACATAAAATATTGATTCTGATATCAAACCTGTAATAGGTTAGTTTAAATAGCAGAAACTGGAGAATAGGGCCAGTTCATATATATATTTTTGTTATTGTTGTAACTGGTAACTATCTACTGTTAAACTTTTTTTCAACTTCCAGATAAATCATATGGTATACTGGGGAAACAAGAAACTATATTAATGAGCATCAACTCCTTAATTATCCTTGTGACTACATAACAGGGACACATTCATGTCATTTCTTTGTGCAATAACTTTTGCAAAGAAGTATTTTTAAACTGATCATTAATTTTATGACCACAGAAATGAGATGCAAAATTTATGCTGTTGTCATTGGCACAGGTTCAAGGCACTACTGACATTATGTGTGATTGTAATGGAATGGCTGCCAACTAATGAGTCTATAGACATTTTATTTGAGCATGCTTTGCTTTTAGATGTCTGATTAGGCAGTAATGCTTTCAATTATGCCTGCAAATTGTATTGGACACATTTACCTGATGCCTATAGTTGCTTTGTAGTTCGGTTCTCTATTACATAAATGCAAGCTGAATGCTTTTCTTTAATTTATTGATGCTTTTCGAGTGTATTTTTAGGTGCTTGGCACCTGAAGAGAGTAGTGGCTTATGCTGCTCAACACTGACTCCTCCGACTCTTCAAGGAGTAACACATGTAGCTTCAGTGCAATTCTGTCTAGTCTTCCTCAGTAGGTGGAGTATAAGCCGCAGTGCAACACCTTGGTGGAGGAGCACATGCAGTGGGGAAAGGGCAGAGATTATTCTGAGTGGGAACACAGGAGACCCCCCAGAATCAACCGGAAGCTTCTCTATGAACTGTCAGGAGCAATATCCTTGCATATTAATAGCATACACTCCTGTGATGCCTTTTAACCCTGCCAGAATTAGGAGGCAAAAACCCAAGGCTGACACTATCCATGCAGTCATTCTTTTATGTAGGCACATAAATACCTTGTGAAATGTTGCCCCTTAAAGCTCCAGAGCACACTGAGTCAGTTCAATTCATGCAACTCTTCTGTACAAATTAGATGATTTAAAGGTTGCATGTCAGGGTATAATACAAATTTACAAATAGATTTATTTTCCCCAAACTAAAAATCAATTTTTAGTTTTATCTAGTCCTGCCAGGTTACAGGTTGCTTGTACCTCTATTTAGTGTCTGCAACCAATTCTCCACAGTTTTCACATAAAAAAGTGTGGCTACCTAAATGTAGTATTGTACGGCATGGGATCTATATATGTGTTCTGATTGTCTCAGGGAGGTTTTTCTTCAAGAAAGTCTTCAAGCCTTTATTTAGGTTTTGACATCTAGAGAATGCTCTGAAGACTATAAACTCTGTAAAAGCACTGAGCATGTAATTTCTTTTTTCATAATACCCCAACTTTTTGTTGCTGGTGTTTTAAGAGCATTTTGAACTTTGATATTGTAAACTTAGAACAGATGCTTGTTTTATTATAAATCTGCAATCCAGTGTGCCCATGGTTTTTGTTGTTCCAAATGCAGTATGTGTCTGGGATAGATACACGATGTGCTCTCAATATGTATGCATGTATTAAAAAGCACCTTGTTTCTAGATCATCTGACTTTTGTATGAATGCAAAACACAGAGGTTTACTGAATTTCCTGTGTGATGTACTCTAGGTGGTCCTGCTCAGGCAGGGGGGTTGGACTAGATGATCTTTCGAGGTCCCTTCCAACCCCTATGATTCTATGATTCTATGAATTTGAAATCCTAAGCATTATCAGAAAATGGTAGTACTGTGACTTAATGGAAAAACAAATGCAGCTATGGGAAGTTACATATGAAACCACAACTTCTCTGAAAAAGATGACATATTGCTGAGTGGGGCAGAATGCTCTGGAGGTGTTCTTTGTACATGTGGATGACAAATACATGAGTACATAAGTGCTGCTCATTTAGATATGCTAGTATAGATATGTTTAAACTTACTATTCAGCCCATGAATTTTGGTGCTGGAGTGTGGCATTTGTGGTAATTTTTTCCTCTAGAAATATAGCCATTATTTTAATTTTATGCTGGCCACCTTCATGAAGGTTAAATGATAGTACATTTATACATTGCTGATAAGAGGATATTTTTGACTGATAACCTAGAGCTTATATATACACATGCATACATACGTATATATACATCTATTCTATGCATTTTAGTACTTGTAAAAGTTTAGGACAGGAAAAGAGTGGAACAACTTTTGATTCTGTATAGGTTGTGAATATCATGTCTGTTCTCTTTATATGGAGTCTGTAATCTAATAAATATATATATTTTGACAGACAGGCAATTAGTCTATGGCATGTAAGTGTGAAAGATGATCATGCTGGATGTAAATAAGGCATAATATTTTCTGTTCACGTCCTATTTGCTCTCTGTTTTTCTATTTGGAGGAAGACCTGAATCCTGGAGAGGAATAATTTACTTTTGATTGGTTTGACTGGTGTGATGAAATCCAAATATTTTGATCGGATTAACATGATGGCTGTAGTGCTGCTGGAAGATGATTGTGTCAAAAATAGGTCTGAGTCAGGTTCAGATTCAAAGCAGTTATTATGTGTCATGGTAACTTGAAAGGAAGCTCTCCCAAGAAAAGCATACTAAATTAATGAAGGGGAAAACGATCTGGTATTCAGCAATCTTTGGGATGTAAAAGAACTCCAGCAAAACAAAAGTCAGGCTTTGTTGACATAGCTGTATAGAAAACTTGCTGTTCTTTGCTACCAAAGATGGTGCTTTTTTGGTATGGATGCTGTGATTTTTCCATTATTAAATGGGAAGCAAAGGGGTAAAAATCTCAGCCCTGTCTAGGCAGTCCTACTGATGAATGCAATTCATATGTCTGTGGAGAAGGGTATTTTCACTATGTGTGGGGTTTATTTTGCATTCTGCAAAATTAGTTATCTAATACAGAAGCATGTCTTAAGGTCTCTAGGAAGTTTTCTGCATGTGAATATACCAAAAGGCAAAGCTTGAGCAATCTAGCTTTGCAAGAAAATTAAGGGTCATTTATCTATGAGAGCATTAGCTTTATGATTTTGGTTTGGCGATTTTTATCACATTTAATTACTGAATTTTCGTTCTTCACTAAGACTTTTTTTTTTTTTTTTGAATAATGTAGTTTGATATTTTCCCACCTATTCTTTGCCTAGATGGTATTAAAAAAAAATATCTGAGAAATATTGAATTTTGTGAGGGGGAACTTAAATTTTGTTCAGTGAAATGAAAACCTCGAATACTAGTGATTTCACTTTACATTTCCTAGACCTTCACACTTAATGCACTCTGCTCAGTGTAGGTTAGCTAATTACGTATATTTTTGTATATCTCGTAGTAGGGCTCTCAGCTGTGGAAGGAATTCCATCAACAGAATGCGGCGTTAAGCCGCAGGTTCAGAGCGGCTGCTGCTGTCAGAAGGCGATTCCCTTTTTAGTTTCACGGGAGGAACACACACACGTTTGCAAAGTAGCGCCTGATGATGGTGAGGAAAAGTGCAAGTGGGCAGAGGGCGACAAACTGCTGCCAGCAGGAGTTTGGCAGGTCCTTGCAAGGGAAGTTGTTGCAAGGGAAGTTGTTGCAGCTCCTTCCTGCGCTCGGACAGGCAGAACTTGGGAGCTTGGCACTGCGCGTCTCTCCTCCTAGCAGCGTTTCCCCTCTCCTGCTGTGGTGCGTGTTTCTTGCCCGCCTTGTGGGAGAGGCTGTCAGCTCCGCAGTGCTGGGAGCGGGTTCCTTCTCCGCCAGCGTGTCGGGGAACCACTTGAGGAACATGTCCGCGGACGAGCAGGAGGCAGCCCCCAAACAGCAGCTGCTCCTGAACGGCCCCGGTCCGTGTCGCGAGAGTCCGTGAGAAATGGGATTTTTCTGGTTTCAGATAGGAATCCGTATCCTCCTTGCCGATCAAAGTCTTCGTATTCTGTCGGGGTGTGTGTGCAAGGCTATTTTAACTACCCTTGTGTTTTTAACTTTTGCAGAACTGGAAAATGGGGAAGAGACTGATGGCTCCTTTTCTTCGCTTCCTGATAGTGTCTCAGGAGCATCTGACCATTGTGATAAAGAGAATGAAGCACCCTCTGATGGTATGTGACACTGTTTACCTTAGAATGTAGTGGATTTGCCAGTTTGCTACAAACTCATGTAATTGGATCCTCGTGATGCGAGTGCTAGTGCTGGAAATCAGATAAACAGATAAGTATCACAGCTGGACATTTTTCTTACCTTTACGAGAACCTTTAAAGGAACTGAAGAGCTCTCTCTAGTGGTCCTAGAGCATAGTGAAGCTCTCTCAAATATACTTTTTTAAACTCATGTTTTTTCATAACAAAGTGTCTTCTGTAGATGCGTGTTTTTAAAGATAGATCAGTGGCTAAGCCAGTGTGAATATTTGTAGTTACAAATTGTTTGTTAATTCAACATTATCAGATTCTTGCTTAATTTTATTGTGCTACTTAATGGCTTACTGTATTATTTATCTAATAAATAATGAAACGCTTCATGTGATTGATATTTTTCTGCAAACTCCATGCAGAACAGGTTCATAAAATATTAAATTATTTCTACCATGTTTCCTTCCATTAATAAAGTCTTTTGTAGAATATTTTCATTATATACATTTTAAATTTGAGTTTGCATTTAAAAAAAAAAAAATCTAGGCTCCATAACTGTTTTCCATGTTATTTTATTTTGTATCCATTAAATTTAATGCTAAATGCGACTGTTACGAAGACATGAACAACTGAATATTTCAACAGTTAACAAGCTTGCTTTAGCATATTGTCCATATTTTTGAGATTCATTTATTGTACAGAAAATATAAATACCTTCTATGGATAATATATGGCAATATGTTAAGTATATGTACAAATAAATTAACGATGTATATTAATTTGTGGGACTAGGAGTTAGATAGACTTACTAGTGAATGATGTTTCCTGACACGATGTGATGATCAAACTGTGCAGCTTCATCTCAAAATACAATTGCTGAATGGAAATATGCTTCCTGCAACATAGCACTCCACGTTTTATGTTATCCAGATTATTCCCTTTGGAAACATAAATTGCTTTTATGAGGTATAAAATTATGTCTATTGCAGAACAGGGATAAGTCAAGTACATGCATAAGTGATAAACCTTCTAACCACTGATTCAGAATAATGCAATTTTTTTTACATCCAGAACTCTGTAAAACATGTAACAATAATAATCACACTTTTTTTTTACACTGCACTTGTTGCATTTTTGCAATGTGACCTTCTACTAAAAGAATAAAAACAAGCCTTTTTGCTTTCTGTTTGGAACGCAGTTATCAGTCAAATTGAATATGGCTTTTAGAAAACCCAAGCTAATTTTCCAGACTACAGATGAATGCAACTTCCCATGTGTTTATTTTTGCTTACAAACATAATCTTAATATTATTTCTAATTATAATTTAATAAGATGGTACTGATTGCATGAAAGATATGTGATAAAATTGTATGACTAATTAATAGGAAATATGAGTATAGATTAGTTTCAAAATAGTTAAGAAAAATGTGGTAATGTTCATAAACCTAAATAACGGATGGCTAAAGAATGCTCATTCAAAAGTGCATGAAATAACATACGAGTTTATACAGATGGGGGATTAATCTTTAGCCTGTTTTGCAAGTTAAAAGAGTAGTTATAATAGCTGCGTAACAGATTCTTGGCTAATTCGTTCCAGTTTAGGTAGAAATATAGTCAGTGCAATTCTGTTATATTTGAGATGATTTTACTTCACTGATCTTTCTGTGTTTTATGATAAGTTCTTTTTAATTATCTGGTGGGAGTGCAGCACGAGGAAAAGTTGAGAGAAAGTGGTAGATTTTGATCAGTAAATATTTTCATTTGTTGGAGGTGTGTTTCTGTTTTCTGCTTTGAAAGTCCAGTGTGTCATTCCAAGAACATTTAGTTTTTAACATACATAGTCCAATATAGTCCATCACTGAAGCCTAGCCACCTAGACTACATAGGAAAATGTATGTTGGGAGAATCTTGTAAAAAGTGGCTTCATTCTCAGAGGTGCCATTTTGGTTCTGATAGGCCTGAATGGGTGTGTTGAAGCTTAATACTCTATTTTTGCTTTTTAGCAGTCTCTGTTCAATATTTAAATTCTTCTCAAGCAGCTGGGTTGGTAAGGTAGATGTTTGATCTTACAGGGTTACCGGTTTAGTTCAGCAGAGCTGTGTGCAGGTGTAAAACCTCATTTGTGTAGGATCAAGGCTCTCAGCATTAAGAGAGCGGCCTAACTGTAGGTAACCAAAGTGAAGTGTTCTTTGTTTCAGTCCATTCATAATTTCAAGTAAAGTCTTTTATATGTATCTTCTGCCAAAAAGAACCCAAACCAAAATAGGCATTTACCTTTATATACTTGAGTTAGACTGCAAGGTTTGCATGACTTCTGGAAGTGTCACTATTTGACTTTGCAGTGTTACTGTCAAAATATAATTTGTGAAGGCACCTGCTTGGTAAAGATTTAGTGTATTTTGTGTACATTACAGTCATTGTAAAGTCCTGGAGTTTTTGTGTGACCTTTGTCTAATGGTGTATTAATTACAAGAGAGATAATCCATTTAACAATAAGTATGGGATAACTAAATTAGCACAGGTCACCTAAAGGCCTTTTGTCAAATCTGATTGTTATGTTGTCCTTTTGACTTTTACCTTATGGTAGGCACTAACAAAGTATCTAAACTTTGATGGATTATAAACTCTAAACATGATATGTATTTTTCATAATGCTAATGTAATTTTCTAGGTACTGAAAAGGTCAAACCCCCACGTCTCTGTGTGCATTCTAAGTCTGTCTTTCCTTTTAATATTTCTTTTTCTCTATTTCTCTGGTTCAAAAGTTCACTCAGTTCCCAAATGGCCACCTAATTTTCCAGTTATTCCCTCAAGCCATATGTGTTTTGGTTTTTTTATGGTTTATTAGGTGCTGTAGGAAAGTAGCATAAGTTATATCATCTAATGAAATTCAAGCACACTTCAGTGATGCTTTGACTTGATTGCTGGCAGCAATTAAATCACACCGAAGGAGAATGATGCATAGGCTTACATATCCAGACACCCTACAGAAATGGAAGAGGAACACAACAGAAACCCCAAATAAAACAACAAACCCTAAAACAAGACAAACAAAATGAACAGCAGTGTGAGGTACTTGGTTCTTAACTTGGGGTGGTGTGTTTTTTTTTTTTTTTTTTGTTTTGTTTTGTTTTGTTTTTTTTTGTTTGTTTTGTTTTGTTTTGTTTTTATTGGCTAATGGCCTGATTGATAGCAAAATCATAACTTACTGTATGCTAACAGGCAGAGTTCACTTGTAGGTTATTGTGAGCTGATAAAGGGTTAGATGGAGTTTTGATTTTCGCTTTGGTCCTTGGTGCACCAGATTAATGGAATTTCAATGAGAGACTGGAGTAGTCACAGCTTTGTCAGAAAAACAGATGGAGATTCTATAGCCATGTCTGCTCATTAATACCAGTTGCCTGAAAGGTGCACTACTTCTCTATACAAAAGACTCAACATAATTGATTTTTGAGCGGGGTATTTTTTCACTTATTGATGACTAGGTTTCTTGCAACTTAAATGACAGGTTTTTGTATAGTACATTGTATAACAATTTTATGTCTTGTAAATTCTTACTCCCCTTCCATCTGTATTTTGAAGAATGTGTGTAGTGGAAAATATCTATGTCTTGATCAGTTAAAAACCAAAACATACCAAAATACTTAAAAAAAATTGAAATAGTAAGGTAAGACTTCCTCTAAAGTTGGTAATAAACATATTTTTGGTTGAAACACTAATGGGGAAAAAGTTGCTGGTTTTCATTTGATTTTTAGTTTTCTTAGGATGGTGTTTGAATGCAGATTCAAGCCCATGCTGAAACTTCCCTATTTAGCAGCCTAATCTTCTTTTACGATGTCAAGGGATTTTTTAACAGTTTTTGTTTGTTTGTTTGTTTGTTTGATAGTATGGTAATTTGATTCCATAGTAGGAAATGCCATTAGTAGTAAAGGAACAAACTTTCTCACTTTAAGTACTATGAGTGAACTGACCACTTCTGAAGAAGATAAGTCTGTGTAGCTCTGCAGGGAGTCTATGATTGGGTAATTATTTGATCTAAAATGACCACAGTGAATGCTGTGGTAAAATAATGTAGATCATCATCGTTTCTGTGAAAGGTCTAGAAGTGTTGCCTTGAGCATGTAAGGATGAAAGAAGTACTAAACGTGTGACTGTGGACTTGCATGCTCTTCAAATAATCCTATTTGGCTGTAGCTTATGAGTAAAATATGCTTTTTAATAGAAAATTCTTAAATTCTTTAGCAGAGGACTTAGTAGTGTTGGCTTAATGGTTGGACTTGATGATCTTAAAGTTCTCTTCCAACCTAAAGGATTCTATGATTCTATAAATAGGGTGAGAAACTCATACTAAAAAATCCTCATAGTTGAAATAGAGGAAGGTAGAACTTAAGGAAGCAAAAGAGGACATCTGGGGAACTTTGAGGGGTCAGAATAAATGTAGAGGTTGTGCTCTAACTGTCACCAGAGTGCAGTCTTGAAAATGAGCAGAATTTGTTGCTTTCTGCAACATGCTTTTTGTGATATATTTTTGGATGAAACAGTACATTTTAGCACTTTGGTTTTATGCAGCTCCTCTGGAAAAGGTCTAGATGAGTCTTTGCAGGCTTGAGTCAACTATTTTACATGATCTATAGTATTTACCTTGAATGAACATCACATTTTTCATTCTCACTTGATCAATCAAAATACAAAATGATGTGACTATATTTTGCATGCTGCTTCTTTTCACATTAAATCTTGAATACAAGTACTGGTTAAGCTAGATTCCTTTTTTTTTTTCCTCCTATTTGGTAGACATGAAGGTTTGAATACTGCTTTGAAGAAGGGTAAAGTTCAGCATAAGACTTAATTTTTATGCCTCATACAATGTATTTTCCAACTTTGTCTTCAAATACATTCCTACTGAGTTTATTTTTGAGGCACTATATTAAAGCAAAGCCTGTGTTCCGTCACTGACCCAGTTAAGCAGCAT